CTCTAACTGATCTTGCATTTTCCTAATACGTTAAAAGTTATTTATTTAATCCTCACAATAAATAAACTTTAATCACAAATAACTTATATAGTACGGAATACTGAGTATTGATCTTTAAGTAACTAAGTTTTATTTTATTAAATAACCCATATATTCGTTATTTAGAATCAAGATTTTCTTGTAATGATGTAAAGGTCTTATATTTCTTCAAATAATTTAGTTTACTTTTACTAAATTCGTCAATATTCTATGATAAAAGTTGTATTTTTTAAGTTGTTATCATATTTTTATCAATTGTTATGAATTATTTATCAATATATAATTTAGTAAAATATCCCATTTCGATAATGAAATGTTTATTCAAAAATTAAAGTGAATACTAAATGTTAGGAATTTTTCTTACCTATACCTATGAATTTGATATGAGAATACAATAGCTTTCAATTACCAAAACTATCTTACCTATAAATATTTACAGTGAATAATTGTGAAATTATTAAATGGATTTCATTTTGACACAAGATTGTGATTAATAATCCGAACGACCCTACTAAATTTGATTATGCAGTAACTATGACTACCGAAATGGCTACTTTCACTGTCTGGGACACAGCCGTCTATGAACCACTTAACAATCTGAAACCCTCCGAGGGATCATAGAAACCTTCCATCAAATTGCAATTCCCAGTCTGAAATGCTGGTGCAAGTTCCGGCACATTTCGAACCCAATTCAATTACCACAGCCAGCAGCGCAGCATAATCATCCTCTTCCAATTGACACATATTGAAAATTCCAAACATGCATATTTACTCGTGTGTGTGTCAATTGTAATTTACTAGAATTTTGAACAGAGTTTTTCATTCGAACTTTGTTTCAATTGATGAAAATACCATCAAAATAAATGACAATTTTGATTGTTGAATTGAATCATGATTACTTCTAATTGTAGACATTACAAAAGTCACAAAAAATAGATTTAGTTTGAAATTATCAAACTTAGCTTCATATAAAGTGAATACTGGAAAAGACTGCAAAAAAAAGTTATTCAATTTGATGTAAATACTGAAATAATCTAAAAAAAATGTTGATTAATATCAAAGTTAGAGTGAAATTGAGTATTGTATAAGAGAAATTATTAATTAGTAACTGAATCTATATTTGTGAAATGTTTATGAGATTTAAGAGCTGTTAGTTGTTACATAAATAATTCGGTCAGTGTTACGAATGTGTTCTTTAATAATAGACGTACTCTTAAAGTATTACGAAAGCTGAACTAGTGAGTTGTCTGGAACTTGATTAATGGTTGCTCGATAACATCTTACACACTTGCACGATTCGGTTATAAACGCAAGGTGTTTTGAATAGTTGCAAAAGTATGAGCAAAAAAAATGATCACTTATTTACTGTATAAAACTGTTTAAAAACTATGTAAATCCTTTAAAAAAGACCCCTTATTTTTTGATGAAAACAGTTTAAAAATTTTGAAAATCTTTTAAAGAAGTAAATGTTTTGAAGAAATAAAAGATTATTTGTTTACTGCTTAAAATAGTTTAAAAACAATGGAAATTATTTATAGAAGAAAATATTTTGAATAATTTCGAAGTAGAAAAAAATCACATATTTATTCCAAAAACTATGGAAATCCTTTAGAAAAGTAAATATTTTGAATAACTACAGAAACGTGACAAAAATATGATTTATTTATTGTTTAAAACACTTAAAAACTATGGAAATCATTGAGAAAATAAATATTTTGAATAACTTCAAAAGTGGAAAGAAAAGATCACTTATTTACTGTTTAAAACAGTTTAAAAAACTTTGGAAATCATTTAGAGAAGAAAATATTTTGAATAACTAGACGAAATATTACATATTTTCTTAAAAGCTATGAAAATTATTTAAAGAAAACAATAGTTTGAATAAGTACAGAAGTAGATAAAACAAATGTCTTATTTACTACTAAAAAAAACTATGGAAATCATGTAGAAAAGAAAATATTTTGACTAGCAGCAGAAATAGAGAAAAAAACACTTATTTTCTGATGAAAACAGTTTTAAAAATTTTGAAAATCTTTTAAAGAAGTAAATATTTTGAATAATTATAGAAATGAAAAGTTAATTTTTTTACAGCTTAAAATAGTCTAAAAACTATAGAAATCATATAGAATAGTAAATAACAATAGAAGTGTGACAAAAATATGATTTATTTTAAGTTTAAAACACTTAAAAACTATGGAAATCATTGAGAAAATAAATATTTTGAATAACTTTAGAAGTGGAAAGAAAAGATCACTTATTTACTTACTTAAATATTTTGAATAACTAGACAAAATATTACATATTTCCTTAAAAACTATGAAAATTATTTAAAGAAAACAATAGTTTGAATATGTACAGAAGTAGATAAAACACATGTCTTATTTACTAGTTAAAATAGTTTTAGAACTATGGAAATAATTTAAAAAAGAAAATATTTTGAATCTTTACAGTAGTAAGAAAAACAGATCACTTATTTACTGAAACCAGTTTAAAAACTGTGGAAGTCATTTGAATAAGGAAATGATTAGTTTGCTTTGATAATGGTAGTGATAGTGCTTCGTCTGCGTCTTCTTCGATAAGAAGTGTAATAAACGAAGAAATCATATATTTTTTTAATCTTAAATATTTACACGATAAATCGTCGACGTATCAAGGCGATCAATCATCGCGGCAACAGCTATGTTTACTCATGCTCATGAGAAAGAAAGGCCTAGTGAGATCACCGGCTTTGTTTTGGTTTAAATGCAAGTAAGCATAATGCGAAGCCAGTAAACAACATCCACTTACAAACAATAAATATTAGTGAGCGTTGAAAAACAACACGACTTGTTTGTAAATAATTCCAAAGAATTATTTCCCCTCATAACTAGAATTGTAACTAGTTCGAGAGCATCAAACATTTATTATTATTTTTTTCCCACTTAACTGGTTGTCTGTCAAAGCCGTGTGAGAGACTTCATGCGGGTTTTCGTGTGTCAGACTTGAAATCCTCTTCAGGTTCTCAAGAAAAAAAAAGGCGGCATTACACATATCAAAAACGTAATGCAAGGAGATTCAAAAAGCGAACGAAAAATAGAAATTTCCTTCCCGTTTAACACGCATCATGTTATAATTGTAATTCTTTGAATTAAGAATTGGCTTGTAATTCATCATCATATTAGATTTCTCGACTGCTTTCCGATTTGTTAGCTAATAAATGCATTAATCATGTTTTCGGGTCTGATGACTGAGCTCTTTTCATATTTCGTTCGCAATCTGTTGAAGCGTTTTCAAACCATTCCTCACTTACGATCGAACGGATTTCATCAAAAAAATATATTAAATTGATGATTGTTGTTAAACACAATTATAAATGATTGAATGTTTGAAATTAGTTATTAATCATCAAAAATCTATCCATTCAAATATTGAGAAACTTAAATTACTTCTTATTGAAATATATGATATGGTAATCATAAAAATCATGATATTGCTCAAATTTATATCCAGAATATTGTAATATGAATAATTCTCTTGGAAAAGACTACTGAAAATGTTGAAAGATTTGATAAAAACCATAAATATATTGAGAATATTATATGTATTAATATGAATAATTGTCTTAAATTATAAAGAATACTTAAATGTTTAAAGATTTGATAAAAATATTAAGATTTGTTAACGATTTTTTCAAATATTTGGAGTTATAAATGTATGCAGAATGTATTAATATGAATAATTTTCGTGAAATATTGAAAATGTTGAAAGATTTGATAAAAACCATAAATATATTCAGAATATTGTAGGTATTAATGAATAATTCTCTTGAAATATAAAGAATACTTAAATATTGAAAGATTTGATAAAAACATTAAGATTTGTAAACGATTTTTTCAAATATGTAGAATCATAAATGTAACCAAAATATTGTATGTACAAATATGATTCTCATGAAATATAAAGACAACTGAAAATGTTAAAAGATTTGAATAATTCTCAGCAAATGTAAAGAATACTTAAATGTTGAAATATTTAATAAAGACAGTAAGATTTGTGAACATTTTTTTCAAATATTTGAAGTTATAAATGTTTGCAGAATGTATTAATATGAATAATTTTCGTGAAATATAGACAATACTTAAATGTTGAAATATTTGATAGAAACATTAAGATTTGTGATTTTTTTTCAAATATTTGGAGATATAAATGTATTAATATGAATAATTTTCGTGAAATATAAAGACTACTGAAAATGTTGAAAGATTTGAATAATTCTCATGAAATATAAAGAATACTTAAATGTTGAAAGATTTAATAAAGACAGTAAGATTTGTGAACATTTTTTTCAAATATTTGAA